TGAAGGAGAAATGTGGCCAGAAAAACAGGCTCAGAATAAGATACAGCAAAGAGCAAAAAGAAAAGAAATTATTTTGGGCAAAAACGAAGAAAACGCAGAGACAGCAACGGCCGTACAAAATGAGCAAATGTGAGAAAAATAAAATAAACAGACAGCGAGAGAACAAAGAAGTTTAGGAAAAAGCAAAGAGTATGATATATTTGAAAAGGAGGAAACTTACAGAAAGAGCTAACGAAAGGAATCTTGTGGAAAAAGCTATGAAATCAAAGAGCAAGATAGCGTAAAGGTGCTTACGAATATCAACTGAGCCTCAGAGTACAAACAAGAGAGAAAATACGACACGAAACGCATTATAGGTGAGCAAGCAGTCCGATTACCTTCAATAACAAAGCGATTAGAAAACCCACTATGAGGGAACAGCTGCAGTGAGCCACAATGCAAACGAAATAAGGAGAGGATATAAGGAGTACGAAGAACGTAGGCAAGACAAGAAATTAACCTACGGAAACACTGGCGAGAGGAAACCCCAAGAAAAACATCTGCAAGAGGCAAGCAAAAGCGGAACAGCAATGCATCGCATGTACTACTTCATAAGATCGTCTACTTACGTCAATTTAAAGTTCGAACGCAAGCAATAATCTTCATCTTCCATCGCCGCTTCTCCTTTCGGGTCGCCGAGGCAGACACATCAGACAGAGCTTCCAACGTTCCCGATCATGTGCCAGAGTCTGAGCTTTGGCAAAAGGCAAATGGAGTCTCGAACAGACTCCTTCCATTTATGCAAACAATAATGAGATGGAATAAAGGCAAAAGACAGAGCTGCCTAAAATGAAAACAGAACATAACGTGACAAGATGGCGCCCAACAAACAAGAATAAAACAGACACACGACAACGTATGCAGAAGCAAGGTACCTAAGGACGTTTAAAGTCCAGACTTATAGAGGAATGAAACAGATTGGAGGCAAAAATACAACCTACGGACAACGACGAACTTTAGCGGGATCGAGACCAGCACCTGTGGAATCGATGCGAAACATTTATTCAGAAAAAATTATGATCTTCTCCTCCCGAACAGAGGTTCAATGAATCAGTTAATTGCAACAAAAAGAAGCAACATGAAGAGATTGCAGATGAGATCAAGAACGACGAGAAATATGTCAAGAGAGCATGCACACTGTCAGAAAATTGGTAACATAATGGCAGACTGAGAAAGAACACGAAGAACAAAGGACAACAACAGAAAACAAGGCGGAACAATAGAAACAAGCTTAGAAATAGAACACAGCCGAAAACGTGAGAAGTATGATCATACAGCTAAAAATGCATACGCAGATGGACTACTTACCACGAGGAATAACACACCTGAAATTGGAAACGCTGAGGGATCTGAAACCGCAGCAGTGGCACTCAAACGGAGTGTCATTGACGACGTAAAGTTTTATTGACCGATTTGCATGTTGCTGTTTCTGATTGGATGATATTGGCATTAACTTTCTCTTATCATCGTTCTTGTGAAAAAGGAATTAAATGCTCAAAATATTGTATTCTGTATATATTCTATGTTTCTGCGGTCTTTCAATACTTTTCTTGGACGAAAGGTTTCTG